TTTTCATTTACATAGCAAAAAAAATAAAAATCCCAGCGGTGAATAAATACCACCAAAATAAAGCTTAATCTGTCTCAAAACAATGGTAAAAAATGCATTTGGGTACAGTGTTGCATGACCGCCGCGCAATTGTCATTCAAAGTGTGATAGCGCTGAAAGCTGAAAATTGCCCTGGTCAGGAAGGGGGTAAAAGTGTCCGGACAGGAAGTGGTTAAGGTCTCAAGGTTTTTTAGCTTTTTGCATTCTATGCATGAAGGTTAAAAACCTTCTGTGTGCAGCAGTGACCCCAGCCCCCCTAAAACTTACCTGTACATCCCCTCCATCCAGCATTGTGCACAAGACCATCAGCTCTCCCAGGTTTCTCCCTCCTCGAGGCTGAGACAGCAGTGGTAGCCATTGGCTCCTGCTATGGTCAATCACAGCCAGTGAGCCAATGAGGTGAGAGCGGGGGGAGAGGCAGAGCCACGCTCCATGTGTGAATGGGTACACAGAGCAGCAGCTTTAAAGTGGAGCTCCAGCCACAATATAAAAAAATAACAGCAGCTACAAAAACTGTAGCTGCTGACTTTTAAAAAACAAAAACTCTTACCTGTCCCACGATCCAGCGGTGTCCTCACCGCAGCCGGTCGGCTGTTTTCTCTTACCGGCGCTGGCATCTTCAGTGTGGGCACCCGCCTGTGACAGCTTCTGGCTTCACAGCCGTGTGCCCACTGCGCATGCGTGAATAGCGCAGCGCTTTCTGAATGGTCCCATAGTCTTCTGGGACCTGTCACGTGTCCCAGAAGGCTACAGGGAGGGGAGGAGGACAACTTCCACTTCCAATTGTCTAGGCAATTGCAGCGGAATTGGGAGCAGGTACCTGTCCAAATCGAGTACCCTCCCAAAAGGTGCCAATACTTCATGGGGAGCAGAGAACGAGGCCTTAAAGCGGAACTTCCCCTTTAGGGTGGAGCTCTGCTTTAAGTAGCAGCATTGCTACACAGTGAAGCAGCCTCTTGAGAGAGGAGCCAAGGGGGTGCGTCCATGACCAAGCATATTGTTCTTTCTGGCTCTGCTGCTAAGTTGTCACTGCACAACCTTCAAACAAGTCTACGTTCCCAATGAATCATAATGGCTTATCAATCATGGACTATTTGTACGCTTGGTTTAGTAAAAGAATCCCATTGGTCTCTATAGGCTGAGGAAGCTGAGCGTCAGGAACGGAAGAAATTGGAGATGAAGCGTGAAGAAGAGAGGAGAAAAGAAGAAGAAACGGCTCCGGATGGAGGAAGAGAAGGAGGTGAATCATTATCTATATACTATAGTTTTATTATTTTTTTTTGGCGGGGGGGGGGGGGGGTGTTTCTCAAAGAGTGTAGTGCTTTTCATGAGTCAAATCAGTAAGTTTGCAGGGCTTTTCCCCCAATTTAATTCAGAAGTAAAGTTTCTTACTCCAAGAGGAACTTCAGTCTTTCATAATTGTTTTAATGAATTTTTTTTAGCTCCTCTTATCAGTCATGCATCATTGGCCTAGATTCAGATAAACACCTGCCCTGCGATTCACTGATCGGGTGCAGCAGCTTGGGCCCCGTGCCGCCATCTTGGTTCTCCTCAGTTGTCAAAAGCTACCAGCATGTGCCAGATTCAGGCCTTCGATGATGACTACAGCTCCCCATCAGCTGCTGTTATTTCCGACTCCCATAGCCTTTTGGGTTATATGATGTGCACTATCCGGAGGCTAAGGCAGCAGAGACATGTCATGTATGCCTAGGCGAGAATGGTGGCGGAAGGGCCCGGACTAAACCTTAAAAGAAATAATATAAAAAGCCTAAATAAAAATGTTGATATTTATTGCGGAGGGTAGAGACTGTGCAAAGAGCTTCAAGTGATTTGGTGTACCAAGTGTGCCCATGCACTTACTGCTCCTGGCCAGCACAACAGTGTCCAGGGAAAGATGTAGCCCTGAGCTATAGTCTGCTAAAAGGATACATTTGCACAATCAGAATGCTAGTTGCTACCAAAACCATGGACCCATGGTTGGAGTATGTATGTATATATATATGTATGTATGTATGTGTATATGTATATATATATGTGTATATATATATATATATATCACCTCCAACAACGCCACCATCAAACCCGCCCCGCAGGCCAGAGTATTTGGTGTCATTCTGGACTCCAACCTTTCCTTCCAGCCCCAAGTCCAATCTTTAACAAACTCATGTAGACTCCACCTCCGCAACATCGCCAAAATCCGCACGTTCCTAACCCCAGAAACCACTAAACAGCTCATCCACTCCCTCATCATATCACGACTCGACTACTGCAACTCCCTCCTCACTGGCCTGCCTCACCGCTGGCTATCCCCGCTTCAGTCGATCCTGAATACGGCAGCCAGACTCATTCACCTTTCCAACCGCTCCGTCTCCGCCACCCCCCTCTGCCAATCCCTCCACTGGCTTCTGATTGCGCAACGGATCAATTTCAAAATCCTAACATTGACGTACAAAGCTGTCCACCATACTGCCCCAAACTACATCACTGACCTAATATCCAAGTACCGCCCAGCACGCACACTCCGCTCCTCACAAGACCTCCTTCTCTCTAGTTCCCTGGTCTCCTCCTCCCATGCCCGCCTCCAGGACTTCTCCAGGGTGTCACCCTTCCTCTGGAACTCCCTGCCCCAACCCATCAGATTATCACCTACTCTCCTCTTCTTTAGGCGCACCCTGAAAACCCACCTCTACAGGGAAGCCTACCCCACCCCCTGCTAACTTGCCGACCTCCTCCACTCTTCCTACCACTCCATCCCCCACAGCTATCTCCTCCTGTGCTACCATCCCCTCCCTCCTAGATTGTAAGCTCGTAAGAGCAGGGCCCTCAATCCCCTCATGTTTTGCATTGTATTGTTGTTGTTCTGTCACATGTTCTGTCCCCCTTTGTAATGTACAACGCTGAGCGAACTATCGGCGCTTTATAAATACTGTATAATAATAATATATATAATCTGTGCAAATGTTTTAGGCAGGTGTGAAAAAATGCTGTAAATTAAGAACGTTTTCAGAAGTGTTAATACTTTCTTATTATCAATAACCAAAATGAGTTAAAAAAAAAGAAATAAACAAAAGAGACATACAAATCAATATTTGGTGTGATCACCCTTTGCCTTCAAGACAACATGAATTCTTCTAGTTTGACTTGCACGCAGTTTTTGAAGGAACTCAGTAGGTAGGTTGTTCCAAACATCCTGGAGAACTAAGCACAGATCTTTGCTGGCTGTAGGCTGCCCATTCATGTAATCCCGGACATACTCCATGATGTTGGTATCTGGACGCTGGGGTAAATTTTTGGCCAATCTCACGCCTCCCTGATGGTATGGCATGATGGATAGGTATCTGCCTGTAATTCTCAGCATTTGCCCCAATTTTTTGTTTCGCTCTATTGTTCCATCTTTCCCCTTCACTTGCTCTTATCGAGTTGGGGCAGGAGAAGTGGTGTGACCGGACTGATGTCACTGGGTTAGTACAGCTGCTTAGGGACCACATTTTCTCTTATATCTGGCTATCAATATGTGGCCCCTGAGGGCTACAAGGAGATGTGTTAAAGAGAGTTAGGCTGGAGAGGAGGCAGCTGCGTGACACTGGGTGCTAAGCACCCGCAAGTCTGTAAGAAACTGATTGCAGGGTAATCCCTGCATGGAGAAATAGATCTTAACCTCCCTGGCGGTATTCCCGAGTGTAGCTCGGGGTAAAGTTTCAGCACCACAAGCGGTAACCCCGAGCTACACTCGGGAATACACTGCAGTGTTGCTCCGGGATCCCTTGATCACTTACCTTGTCCTGCACTCCTGCGATGTCCCTCCTGCAGTGTCCCCTGTAATGTCCTCCGGCCGATGCTGGCATCCGTCTTCCGGGTTCCGTTCCCTGCTTTGTCAGGACGTACGGGGGACGGAACTGGCGGGAAATTTAAAAATGTCAAAAAGTTACATTCACTAAATACACTAAAATCACATAGTATAACATTCCTGTATCAAACCATTTCACATACATTTTGTCCCGAGTGCTTTGTCCGGCGCCCTGCCTGCATTTTACTGTTCTTTCTGCCTGGAAACTGAGAAACGTCCATGGCATCCAAAAAGCGTCCCTTTAGGTCCAAATCGGTCTTAGACCGGCTAGAGAACAGCGATAGTAAATCAGAACCACTTGCAGAATTGAGTGATAATGATTAGTGGGGGAAATTCATCATCAGACACCGAAAACGATTCTGCGACTTTGCTCAGTGATGTGCGAACTTGGCGCTCTATTTCACATTTCAGTGTTTTTGGTTTGATTATATTATTGAATTAAATGTATTATTATATTATTATTTTTTATGATTATTTATTATATTATAATTTATGATTTCGTGTTTCAAATTTTATCATACCCCGGGATGTTTACTAGACTCTTGTTCGGACAGATTTCAGTGAGTTATTCTTAAAAATTACAGGCCTACAATAAAAAAACAACATATTTCCATGCAAAAAAATATACCGCTTTGAGCACAGAAATACTGACGTAATCAGACCGCTAGGGAGATTAACTACCTGCCGACCGCAGATAGCCGAATGACGGCTAAACTGCGGCCGGCCAGTTCTGAGTGGACGTCATATGACGTCCTCCCAGAACGCGCTCTCCTGCGCACCCGGCGATCTCCGTGATCGTTGTGTCCTACGGACACAGCTGATCACGTGATGTGGTAAAAGGCCAATCACAGCGGCCTTTTACCACTTGATCAGCGGTCTCCAATGACACGCTGATCAGAGGGAAATGCAAGTGCCGGTTCTCGGCTGCACTTTCCTCACGCTGTCAGATCGTGAGGAAAGTACTGCCGAGAACCGGCAGTTGTCAGAGCGGGGATCGGCACCGATCATCAGGGCACTGATGATCAGTGCCCTGATGATCGGTGCCCAGCAGTGCCACCCGCAAGTTCCGCCCACCTGTGCCCAGCAGTGCGCCCACTAGCTCCGCCCACCTGTGCCCAGCAGATCACCCACCTGTGCCCAGCAGATCACCCACCTGTGCCCAGCAGTGCACCTACCTGTGCCCAGAAGTGCCACCTACCTGTGCCCAGCAGTGCCACCCACCTGTGCCCACCCACCTGTGCCCACCAGTGCCACCCACCTGTGCCCACCCACCAGTGCTGCCCACCAGTGCCACCCACCAGTGCAGCCCAGCAGTGCTGCCAGTCAGTGCCCAGGGGTTGTGCCAGTCAGTGCCCAGCAGTGATGCCAGTCAGTGCCGTCTGTCAGTACCCATCATCAGTGTCACCTCTCAGTGCCGCCTCTCAGTGCTGCATATTAGTGCTGCCTATCCGTGACACCTCATTAGTGCTGTCTATCAGTGCCGCCTATCGGTGCCACCTCATTAGTGCTGCCTATCAGTGCCCTTTAGTGCCGCCTATCAGTGCCCATCAGTGCTGCCTCATCAACGCACATCAGTGAAGGAGAAAAAATACCTGTTTGAAAAATTTTATAATAGAAACAAAGAAACTTTTTTTTTTTTTTTTTTTTAATTTTTTGCATTCTTTTTTTATAGCGCAAAAAATAAAGCGCCCAGTGGCGATTAAATACCACCAAAAGAAAGCTCTATTTGTGAGAAAAAAATGATCAATATTTCATATGGGTACAATGTTGCATGACCGCGCAATTGTCAATCAAAGTGCGGCAGCACTGAAAGCTGAAAATTGGCCTGGTAAATAAGGGGGTATAAGTGCCTGGTAGGCAAGTGGTTAAGCACAGATGATGAGAACTGGATACTGAACCCCTTCCTTTACTGAAAAAAAGTATAAAAATAAAACTGGAATTCCACTTCAACAGGTTATCGTATTTTAAAAAGCTTTTTAAATCTGTAGATTTATTTAAATTCTAGAGTATATACATCGTGTGTACAATTATTAGGTAAGTGAGTATGTTGACCAAATCATCATTTTTATGCATATTGTCTAATGCAGGCCATAGACGGGTCATTTATCGGACGAAAGAATAATCGACAGATAATCGCACCGTTAGTGGGCAATGTCGTTGGCCGATTTTCGCGGTTCCTTCTCGTTTCTTTTATCGGTTATGTTGGAAAATCTACGAAAAATGGCCGATGTTCGTAAGCATTGGTGGCAACAGAACGACTGATTTTTTCGTTTTTTTCGGCCAATAAACGACCCGTCTATGGCCTGCCTAACTCCCAACTGTATAAACTTGAATGCTTATTGGATTTAAGCATGTCAGGTGATGTGTATTTGTGTAATGAGGAAGGGTGTGGCCTATCCAGTGTGTTCATTGTTTTTTGGAGAACAGATCTTAGCCAAAAGTCTGAAAAGCCACAAACTGAACACGTACCAGGATATCATAGATGCTGGCCCTGGATGGTGCCTGAAAATCAATGGCTCCATTCTTCTGGAGAGAGATGCACATTTAGGGCTCGTTCACACTTGGCTGTTTTACCAACGCTTGCCAAACGCTCCTATAGCGTTTGGCAAGCATTGGTCCGGTGTTTGCGAAGCGTTTTTTAACGCTCGGCAAACGCTGCATGCGCGGTTTAGCGGCGGTTGCTAGGCGTTTGCCGAGCGTTAATAACGCCCCACAAAGGCCTATAAGCAGTTTGAGTGGTGTTACCGCACCGCAAACGCCCCGCGTCGCAACCGCACCGCAAATGCCGGCCGGGCGTTTGCGGAGCGGCACCATAGATGAGAATAGGAGGCTTCAACGCCTCCTGACTCGACCAGAGGTGTCCGTTTTGCCGCGACGCGAACGCTCCCGTTAGAACAGCACCATGTGCTGTAATGTGCAGAATTGGCAGAGGCGTTTGGGACGCGGTAAAAACGCTTCCCAAACGCCTCTCTGCCGCCTGCACACAGCGCTAGTGTGAACGTAGCCTAAGACATTGACATGGGAAGTGCTGTGATCTTTGTGACAGGTAATAATACCTGGAAGTATTCCATAATATTTAGCATGTTTATACTCGCCATGATGCCAGGTCCATTTTAACTACAGGTGGGTGTGCCCCATAGTCATTATCCCCAATGATTAGTAAGTTTTGTAATGTGTTGCTCGTTGTATATAGAAACCCATCAGAGTTTGGTGTGAAGGTGTCAGTGGTGTCAGGGTTTGGTTCACACTTTCTTCCTACTCTGAAGAATCCAGCTGTACTATGGAGGAAAGGTTGTTGGAGCGCTTATGAGTCACACCTGTGTTAGATCTTCTATATGTGTAGGCTGCGCTCATTAATCGGTTAGTACTCCCTTGTAGAAACACAGAATTGTTTAGGCAGTTAGATATTTTTAACATCTGTCACCAAGGCAGACTGAAAGTGGGAGGATGAAGACAGCTGTAATTTTGAGGGAAGAATCAGTCTTGCACAGAAGCGTTGATTGCAAAGTTATAGCTAACGGGAACTAACCTAAGTTTTGTCCCTTCTAGAAACTTTATTTTCTAAATTCTTAATTCTAAAAAAATATATAAGCATGTGTATATTTACAGTGTAAGTGTAAAAAAATAAATAAAATAAATATATACCGTATTTTTTGCTCCATAAGACGCACCTAGGTTTTAGAGGCGAAAAACAAGAAAAAAAAAAAATTCTGAACCAATGGACTGCAGACACACTGCAGGAGATGACCAGAGACTGCGGACATACTACAGGAGATGACCAGAGACTGCAGACACAGTACAGGAGATGACCAGAGACTGCAGACACAGTACAGGAGATGACCAGAGACTGCGGACATACTACAGGAGATGACCAGAGACTGCAGACACAGTACAGGAGATGACCAGAGACTGCAGACACAGTACAGGAGATGACCAGAGACTGCGGACACAGTGCAGGGGATGACCAGAGACTGCGGACACAGTACAGGAGATGACCAGAGACTGCGGACATACTACAGGAGATGACCAGAAACTGCAGACACAGTACAGGAGATGACCAGAGACTGCAGACACAGTGCAGGGGATGACCAGAGACTGTGGACACAGTACAGGAGATGACCAGAGACTGCGGACACAGTACAGGAGATGACCAGAGACTGCGGACACAGTACAGGAGATGACCAGAGACTGTGGACACAGTACAGGGGATGACCAGAGACTGCGGACACAGTACAGGGGATGACCAGAGACTGCGGACACAGTACAGGGGATGACCAGAGACTGCGGACACAGTACAGGGGATGACCAGAGACTGCAGACACAGTACAGGAGATGACCAGAGACTGCGGACACAGTACAGGGGATGACCAGAGACTGCGGACACAGTACAGGAGATGACCAGAGACTGCGGACACAGTGCAGGGAATGACCAGAGACTGCAGACAGTGCAGGGAATGACCAGAGACTGCTGACCTTTGAGGAGGGAGGGGGAGCGGGTACCTGAATTTGACAGGTACCCGCTCCCACTTCCGCAGAGTTATCCTTCCCTCTTCTTCCCGGGCCGGCTTCTGTGACAGCCGGGTGCCCACTGCGCATGCGCGAGAAGTGCTGCGCTTTGTGAATGGCCCGGCGCTTTCTGGGACCTGTCATGTGTCCCAGAAGACACCGGATCATTCACAAAGCGCAGCACATGCGCAGTGGGCACCCGGCTGTCACAGAAGCCGCCGCGGGAAGACTGTAGAGCGCTGGAGCGAGGAACAGGTAAGGCCCTGCAGAAGAGAACAGCTGAGCGGCCGGCCCGATATTCTGACATGGTGGCGGCAGAAATACCGGACCGGCCACTTTATATTCGCTCTATAAGACGCACTGACATTTTCCCCCCTTTTTTGGGGGGAAAAAAGTGCGTCTTATGGAGCGAAAAATACGGTATATATAGCCTTGAAAAAGTATTCATACCCCTTAACATTTTCCACATTTTGTCATGTTACAACCGAAAACTGAAATGTATTTTATTGGGATTTTATGTGATAGACCAACACAAAGTGGCACATACAGTGGGACAAAAAAGTATTTAGTCAGCCACCAATTGTGCCTGCGTGGGTTTCCTCCAACACTCCAAAGACATGCTGGTAGGTTAATTGGCTCCTGTCTAAATGTTTTGGATCATTGTCATGTTGGAAGACCCAGCCACGTTTCATCTTCAATGCCCTTGCTGATGGAAGGAGGTTTGCACTCAAAATCTCACGATACATGGCCCCATTCATTCTGTCCTATACGTGGATCAGTCGTCCTGGTCCCTTTGCGGAAAAACAGCCCCAAAGCATGATGTTGCCACCCCCATGCTTCACAGTAGGTATGGTGTTCTTTGGATGCAACTCAGCATTCTCTCACCTCCAAACACGACGAGTTGTGTTTCTACCAAACAGTTCTATTTTGGTTTCATCTGACCATATGACATTCTCCCAATCCTCTTCTGGATCATCCAAATGCTCTCTAGCAAACTTCAGACGGGCCGGACATGTACTGGCTTAAGCAGGGGGACACGTCTGGCACTGCAGGATCTGAGTCACTGGCGGCGTAGTGTGTTACTGATGGTAGCCTTTGTTACGTTGGTCCCAGCTCTCTGCAGGTCATTCACTAGTTCCCCCCATGTGGTCCTGGGATTTTTGCTCACATTCTTGTGATCATTTTGACCCCACGGGGTGAGATCTTGCGTGGAGCCCCAGATCGAGGGAGATTATCAGTGGTCTTGTATGTCTTCCATTTTCTAATTATTGCTCCCACAGTTGATTTGTTAACACCTATTGCAGATTCAGTCTTCCCAGCTTGGTGCAGGTCTACAATTTTGTTTCTGGTGTCCTTCGACAGCTCTTTGGTCTTCACCATAGTGGAGTTTGGAGTGTGACTGTTTGAGGTTGTGGACAGGTGTCTTTTATACTGATAACAAGTTCAAACAGGTGCCATTGATACAGGTAATGAGTGCAGGACAGAGGAGCCTCTTAAAGAAGAAGGTGCAGGTCTGTGAGAGCCAGAAATCTTGCTTGTTTGTAGGTGACCAAATACTTATTTTCCACCATAAATTGCAAATAAATTCTTTCCAAATCAGCCAATGTGATTGTCTGGATTTGTTTCTCATTTTGTCTCTCATAGTTGAGGTCTACCTATGATGCCAATTACAGGCCTCTCTCATCTTTTTTAAGTGGGAGAACTTGCACAATTGGTGGCTGACTAAATACTTTTTCGCCCCACTGTATATTGTGACGTGGAAGGAAAATGATAAATGGCTATCAAAAGTAAATATCTGAAAAGTGTGGCAGCATTTGTATTCAGCCCCTTTACTCTGATACCTCTAAATAAAATTTAGTGGAACCAATTACCTTCAGAAGTCACCTAATTAGTAAATAGAGTCCACCTGTGTGTCATGAAATCTCAGTATAAATACAGCTGTTCTGTGAAGCCCTCAGAGGTTTGTTAGAGAACATTAGTGAGCAAACAGCATCATGAAGGCCAAGGAACACACCAGACAGGACAGGGATAAAGTTGTGCAGAGGTTTAAAGCAGGGTTAGGTTATACAAAAAAATATCCCAAGCTTTGAACATCTCATAGAGCACTATTCAATACACCATCGAACATGGAAAGAGTATGGCACAATTGCACACCAACCAAGACATTGCCGTCCACCTAAACTGACAGGTTGGGCAAGGAGAGCATTCATCAGAGCAGCAGCCAAGAGGCTCATGGTAACTGGAGGAGCTGCAGAGATCCACAGCTCAGGTGGGAGAATCTGTCCACAGGACAACTATTAGTCATGCACTCCACAAATCTGGCCTTTATGGAAGAGTGACAAGAAGAAAGCCATTGTTGGAAGAAAGCAGGGTCCGGGGAGACCAGATATAGTGAATGCAGGGTCCGGGGAGACCAGATATAGTGAATGCAGGGTCCGGGGAGACCGGATATAGTGAATGCAAGGTCCGGGGAGACCAGATATAGTGAATGTGGGGGTCCGGGGAGACCAGATATAGTGAATGCAGGGTCCGGGGAGACCGATATAGTGAATGCAGGGTCCGGGGAGAGCAAATATAGTGAATGCAGGGTCCGGGGAGAGCGGATATAGTGAATGCAGGGTCCAGGGAGACCGGATATAGTGAATGCAGGGTCCAGGGAGACCAGATATAGTGAATGCAGGGTCCGGGGAGAATGGATATAGTGAATGCAGGGTCCAGGGAGACCAGATATAGTGAATGCAGGGTCCGGGGAGACCAGATATAGTGAATGCAGGGTCCGGGAGACCAGATATAGTGAATGAAGAGGGTTTAGTAACACTTTAACCTCCATTGCACCAGAAGATTATGACAGTGGGGGTGGGGGGGGCATCAGTGGAGGGAAATTTCAGCGAAAGGAGGACACAGCGGCACAGGGGACACATCTCTCTAAAGGCAAGTAATGTCCCTTGTGCAGTTTTTTTTTTTTTTAATTTAATGATTATAATTATTCATTGTGATCAAAGGAAACTTTGTTACAACAAACTGACTGTAAAGTATAAAAGGAAGTGTTGGCAAAAGTTAAAAAAAAAATCATCCATAATTTTTTTTGCCTATTATTAATAAATTATAATTAAATAATAATAGGCAAAAAAAATTATGGAAGATTTTTTTAAAAGTTTTTGCCAACACTTCCTTTTATACTTTACAGTCAGTATAATTATTAGAGCTCAGTAATAGAAAATGCCAAATAACTTCTGATATCTACAATATACACACTTGTTCATCAACCATACAGAGTTCAT